CTCCCCCTCAGCCCTCCTCCACACCTCCCAGCCCCGTCCTGACCCCTGCAGCCCTACTCCCTGCCCTGTGTCGCCCCACACCCAACCCCCTGCCCTGACTCCTGCACCCCCTCCCCTGAGCCCCATCCTTTAAACAAGCATGTACACTGCCCTTTAATTTAAAAAAACAAAACTAACTACGTTTAACGACAGACTCCATGCCACCTACGTCTTCTGATTGATCATAATGCGGAAGTGCCTAGCGACTGTCGATGGAAATTCCATCGACTCGTCAATTAAACGCATTTTAATATCTTTAATCCGTACCAGAGAAGCATGAGCCCCATCCTTTAAACAAGCATGTACACTGCCCTTTAATTTAAAAAAACAAAACTAACTACGTTTAACGACAGACTCCATGCCACCTACGTCTTCTGATTGATCATAATGCGGAAGTGCCTAGCGACTGTCGATGGAAATTCCATCGACTCGTCAATTAAACGCATTTTAATATCTTTAATCCGTACCAGAGAAGCATGATGGTGAGATGAGACGAGCAAGTTTTCCCTTCTGACTGGGACGTTTGGCAGCTTCAAAAATAAAAGCATCTCTCCCCCTCCCCCCATTACCTCCATATCTTTTCCATAGTCCCGGCTTTCCAGGAGAGACTCCCTGCTTTGGGTGAAGAATGGCTGACACACTTTGGTCCTACATCCATATATTTACATGTAGTCCCATTAAAACACAAGATGTGTGCTTGTGCCTAGCTCCCCAAGCCACCCAGATCCTTCTGAATCAATGATCTGTCCTTTTCCTTATTTATCACTCCTCCAATTTCTGTGTCGTCTTCATATTCCATCCATGACAATTGTATGTTCTCTTCCCAATCATTGATAAAAATGCGGAAGAGTTTGTGGCCAACAACTGGTTCCTGCCAGATCTCGCTAGAACTTCCTTAATGATAATTTCCCATTTGCAATGAGGTTTCAAAATATATTAGTGATCGAGTTGCTGTGCTGCCCAGCAATTTTTCCTTGGGTCCTTTTGCTTCCCTTATAAATGCTCTACAATTCCTAATGACTGATTTATATTAATTACTATCAATTTCTCTTCCTTCACTTCTTATTTCTTTTTTTTTTAAAGCTGCCTTCATTTCCCCTCTGAACAAGGTCGTTTTTACCCCACACACTTCTCCACAGAGGTAAGATTGTGGGTTGTCAGTAATTCTGGTTTTTTGACTAGTGGCTGAGTATTATTTACATAAGTTTCAGGGGGAAGCCGAGTTAGTCTGTACAGAAAAACAACACAAGATCTGGTAGCACTTTATAGACTAACAAAACATGTAGATGGTGTAGTAAGTTGAGGGTCAGTAATATGGAGTCAGCAGGCCTAAGGCCTGCAACATGGAAACAGCAACAGGCCTGCAATCTAGTGAGTAAGTCTTTGGTTCAGTAACACAGGAGCCAAGAAAGAAGCCCTATTGATAATTGTGTGATTGTGTAAGTTAGATCGAGCATGGAAGGACACAGGGAGGCACTGGGTACAGACTATAAGCCAAAGAGGAGGAATGGAACATCTTAATAAGAAATGTCTTGGTACAAAAACTCCCTAAAAATTAATGCACATACCGACCTAGGTTCAGGACCAGGTCGGAGTTGACAGCATGAAGGATAGTAAGTGAGCCCTCCTTCCATAAGGTGAGGGGTGGTAACTAGGCAACAGAGGGTGGTAACCTGGTACGTAAAGAAATGATGTAAGTTTTGATACCTGTCTATAAAAGGACGCTGCAGAGGGTGCTCTCCGGCCGACCTTGTGGAGGGGCACACTAGGCACCTGAATGGCAAGTGTCATTGCCTAAACTTACAGAATGCACAATAGCTTAACTTTGACTAACTGCTGTTAATATCTGATATATGGCAATAGGCCTGCCCGGTGTTGGTACCTTGTCAACGCGGGCCATAGTGCCCAGTGGTGTAACATTGTACTGATCTCTGTTACCAACTGGTAGAGCTTCGCATTTGACAATAAACCTACTCGATTGATTTCAAACCTTGCCTGCATCTGTCGTTTCCGGGGCCTCACAGAGATCTCCTGTGTTGACCCAAGTGCACAGGGTCTAACACTCTAGATAAAGGGAGTACCGATTGTTACGCACGCAGCTGAAAGTTTATTATCACCGACGGAGTAAAGGTCCTGTCAGGAGCGCGCCAGCATGACCCTGACCAGACAACGCTGACGCTGACAGTCCAGACCACCGAAGTACCAAGGTACGAAAACACCAAGGTACGACAGATGGTATCATGAGCTTTCGTGGGCACAAGGCTATGCCCACGAAAGCTCATGATACCATCTACATGTTTAGTTAGTTTATTATTTACATGTTCATGATTAAAAACATTCTGTCTTCATCTGGCTAATAAGTGGTTTTAGTTGTGTGTGTGATCCCACTAACGCACAAAGAAAATATATTACTCTTGGGGGAAATTCTGGCCCCCAAATTAAAAATGTTGTGCTAAATAAAAATGAAAAATTCTACATACCGTATCTTACAATTGTGAAAATACCGCATATTTTATTTCTCAAAATAGCACAACATGATAATGCCAGTTTCAGTTATCTTGCTAATTTCACATATTGTCAGCAAGTCTGTCCCTGTATCTGCCCTTCCCTGAACAAATGTGGCCTTGCACCCACATCCCAGTTCAGCTGCAGCTCAATGCTATCATTGCAGGAACTCCTGAGCCTACACCACACTCTGTCCCCCCAACTAGCTATTCAGAACCCCAGTCTGTGACCCCCAGCCCCCCAGCAGTGTTTTGCACCCTATTCTGTCCTAGCTGCTATGATGAATAGCTACTAGCAAAGAAATTCTGCCCCGGGAATACTCCTTTCCCCTCCCCCCGCCCCCTAGAAAATACATTGTCCCAGAAATGCTGCAGTACTGCCTTTTGCACACCAGAGGTTGCTGTGGCACCAGGAGAGCTGGATGCATGAAGA